GTGTGTGTGTGTGTGTGTGTGTGTGTGTGTGTGTGTGTGTGTGTGTGAATGTGTGTATTAAATTCTTAAATATCCTGTGTCAAAATTTAACCTTATTAGAAAATTGAATTTTCTTTTGGGCTGAAGTTTTAATTTTAGTGACTCTACTAACAACCCTGTACAATTTTCATGATAATAAAGTTATAACCAGAAAATCCTAATCCTAAGTAATTGGAGTATAAATGAATAAATAAATAAATGCCATCATGCTAATGGAAATGAACATGATAACAAAGAAAATGAGCATAAATAACAATGAAAATAATCAAAAGTGAAACATTAGATTGTTAGGTTTTTTAAAGCTTTGATTCAAGATGTACTATCTTTCTCTAGTGTTTGATGGTTAGCTGTTTTTTTTTTTAATACCCTAAAATTAAAGAAAGAAATGAAACTATACAGTGATTCTACATAACTTGATCTACTTCATTAGAGTCCTCTTTTTGGCACTAACCAAAGTTTACATTAGAATATCTGCTAATAATAAGAGAGACAACACATAATAGAACTGGAAATGCATTATGTAAAACAATTAGTGTCATGGAAGGAAGACTGAACTTAAACAATATATGTAGAATAATTCTAATAATAATGAAAATAACTAAACCTATTCTAGCAATTTATTTTATTAAAAATCAAATAACACACTTTTTATTAAAGTATTCAGAAATCTTTCTTTTTTCATATAATTTAGAATCTTTCTTTAATAAGCAAGATGGATATATGATGCCAAGAAATATTTTATCTTTTTCTCATTCCAGAGATATTTTATTGTTTAGATTTTGGCTATTATAGGTTTGATTACTTTGTAAATTTGTCATCTGAATAACAAGTATGTTTTTGGACCCTTTTTTTCAGAGTTTTCATCATGATTCACAGACTTCTGTAAAAGGTAAGACATACATATACTCACATATTTTAAAAAGAAAGAAAAAGATTCACTTATAGAACTTCAAATATTTTTTTTCAATGTTTAATCCAAATGCTGTAGTAACTATGCCCTAACTATGTGAAATACTTTGTGAGGGGAAGAAATACTTTACTAAAACCCTTTCACTAATGGAAGTGATAATTCTTCAAGGGAAAAGAAATTCACATTATTTTAACTTTCATCCTGATATATTTTAATAAGGAAGAAAAGAGATATATTAAAGTTAAACGAATATTAAAAACTTCCTGATAGTCATTCTAAGACACTGCAAAATTTTACTATTAATTATACTTTGATGTAACAAAGATGAGAAAATTGCAGATCTCCAAAGTCACTAGTTTCAAATTTAAATTCAAACTCTACTTGAAAGACCAGATAAAAGGATTAGGTTATGGAATAATCAGTATTCACCAAAGTTCCAGGACTATATTATTGGAAAATACAAGAGGACAGTTTCTAGAGAAAATGGTGGGTGTGTGTGTGTGATGTAGAGCAGGGTCCAACTTTCAAATCAGGCAGAACTGGTTTTGCATCCCAATTCTGCCACTTCTTAACTCTGTGACCCCAGAGTAAACCCTTTGATCCTCAGTTGTCTTAGTACACATAAAAGATACGATGATCATACTTCATTGCAGGGTGTGGTCAGGGCTGGTCTTGTTTGCACAGGCAGATGGGTTTTGGCACAGGAACACCCCAAGCATTTTTAAAGAGACTGATTCACAGATGTTCAGTTAGTAACCTTGGATGCAGAGATAACTCCAAGTTGCCTCCACATCCTTACTCTTTTCAGTAAAAAGTTGTGTACAGAGGATATCCTCTTTTTTCTAACTCCCACCCTTAAAAGAAGACAGTAGATTATATTTGAGGAACTCCCCCACCTCTCTCATAGAAAGTAGTGCACCAGCAGAGGGTATGGAGAAAAAAAAATGAGTGACTGGAAAGGCCCCTGTTCTACTTATTCATAAATTCCATCCCACCAGAGAGGAATAGATGGGATGAACACTCCATCACAATATTACCAGCATAGAGTCTAAGGAGTAGTGTGTGGGGTGGACAAGCTGGAGGAAGGTCAATATGGAACTGGCCTCACTTTCTTTCTGCTAGGAATGCTGTAATGAACTTTCTTCCCCTCATATTCCTCAGAGAAATAAATATAAAATATAAATAAATAAATATAAAATATAAAATTCCAAAAAAGTGTACAGCAATTTGCATAGAGATTTATCTCCTATGATAAATTATGACAGATTCTAATTACTCTATTTAATTGCATATACATTGTCATTGCTTCTTTATTTCATGGTGCTATAATTCTTTTCCAGGAGTATCTCAGTTGTGATATGCATTATTTCACCATATTTCTCCACCAAGCCCAGGGATTGTGTCCTTAATACATTTTGATGATATTATTTAAAGTATATTCTTCATTCAGAGCTCTGGAAAGTAGTGCAATGCATATGCACACATCTCTTAAACAACTCAAAGAAGCAAATAAGAACTAGCTTTCCACACACACACACACACACACACACACACGTATACACACACACAAATAGAATTTGAGTAATTATCCAAATGATTAAGGATCCCCAAAGTATGTGCTAGGACTTGAATTAATAATATTTCTAACCCAGCTCTATGATTCTTTTTAGATAGATAATCATTAGCACATATGCACAAGATTGGGAATTATTGACAAGAAGTTTGTGCTTCCTGCTTCGGTACAATTTGGGGACTGGGAGAAAAGATGTTTCTGTACATTTTTAATTCTTTGACTCCTATGGTCCAGGAAAATCCCTGTTAGTTAGCCTCCAGAGATTGATGAGGCTTGTTTTAATACTGTTCTATGCTATTTTACTGTTCCAGTTCATTATTGTTGTTGATAATTTTTCAAATCAATTTAATTGGAGTTTTTTTTTTTAATTGGGACTCTGCTAGTCCCTCCCACCCCAGGCTGTTTCAACAAAGGGCACAATATAAGAAATGCAGTAAACAAGTAAAATTTTGTCTCTCTTATAAACTTTGTACAAATTTATGAATAACTAAGTGAATAATAGCAGGTGTTGAACAATAAAGCATGGAGAGAGCCCTGAGGGGCAAGAAGAAGCTCCATGTAGAAGCTGGCCTCTTTCCTGAAGTACTACATCACGTGCCCCAGCACAGGTGCAGAGCTGACTACTAAAGGAAAAGCTAGCTCTTTGTACCATTGTTTTCTCAAAGCAACTAGAAACCAAAAAGCAACATATTTCAAAAACAACTTAAGAGGAAGTTGCATGTGTTTAAACAAACAACTGGGCCAGGTGACTTGGTCCAGCATATTTTAGAATTACAGAAGATCTTCAGAACATCATTTCTAATGATCTTTCTGATGATGTGCCTACTTGTCCTCTCAACATCTCCACAGCCTACCAAGAGAAAACTCATAGCCCAAACACGTAGTCATTTTTCTTCATTCATGACAAATCTCTTTCAGTAATAATCAATAAATGTTTTAAATAGCTAATGGTAAAATTCAAGAGAGGCTTTGATTTTGAAGAGATTTAGTAAGCATCACAATTCCTTCATTTTGAGCTTGTTTCAAATCCCAGTCACGTGGTATCATCATTCTCTTTTAACACCAGCACACTGTCATGCTAGTTAATAATAAACAACATAGCATAATCAAACTTGTTATGATTAATTCTCTAGATAGCATTTATATATGTAGAAAACATTTCTTGTCTGAAAATAATTCTAAAGTGAGTAGAAGGTGACTAGAAGACCATGTTTGCAAAATGTCTACTGCTGAAAGTAAGAAAGACTATTGATAGCTAAGCTACTAGCACCTAAGCCAGACTGCATTCAGAGACACAGATGGCTAATTGGCTCCTGTTGGTAAAGGTCATTTTAATTAAATTTTACTTAAACTTTATCATAAGGAATTTCAAAGTCATGATTGATAGCTTATGATAAATATAACCCTCACAGATGTCCTGATCTTTACCTTTTTCTCCCCTAGGCTTTATAGAGAAAGTGACAACTGAACTATCCACATCCATCTACCAGCTTATTGATGTCTACTGTCACAGCTTTTATGCTGATTTTCAGCCTGTAAATGCACCTGGAAGCATTTCCAGTGTAAGTCCTGGACTCCATTCCCATCTCAGCTTCACAGTCTATGCGGTACACAACATTCCTGAGGCATGGATGGGCAGGTGAGTGGTGGCAGGTTTTCCCACAAAAGGGGTAATTAGTTTTTACACATCTTCTAATTAGAGCAAAATTTATCTTGTTCTCATTTGCAGGAGCAAGTATTTCATACAAATTTAGAAATTAACTGGCATAAACTTATCTTTATTGGTAAAAGTACATTTTAAAAGTTCCAATTCTCAGTGGTCATTTATTTCCCCACTTCTTCCAATCTCCTCCATATTAAAAAGAATTGCTGTTGTCAATAATCATTGTGGAAATAGAAAATACTCATCCTATTAGATGGCTACCATAAAATTGTCTTTATAGTATTTGGATTTAAATGACTTATGTTGAGAGAGAGAGAGAGAGAGAGAGAGAGAGAGAGAGAGAGAGAGAGAGAGAGAGTGTTAGTTTACAAATAGAAAAAGAAAACACTCTGATTCTCATCAAGTTATTGAGTGGTAGATATTTTGTAAGATTAATACCTTGACGTAGTGAAAATTAGCCAAGAATTACTTGAATTGCAATAAAAGAAACCACAATTATGCATAAATAACTCTGGATATTAGGTTGAATCTATGACGTAGTATTCTCTTAAAATAATTAGAGTAAAATAGCATAATACATTTGAATTTCTTATGACTACCCATATAGAAGAATACTGATTAAATTAAAGTTGATATTAGAATACTAATTTGTTGGTGAAAATATTATACGTAATGCATTTGGGATCTCAAAAAAACTGAAAGGAATAATTTTAGTAATGATAAATAATTTTGCTGGTATGACATTTTTTGCAAATAAATAAACTGTGAAAATGCTTACAGAGTCAATTTAAGGAAAAATATTACCTATGTAAATAAAAACCTACACACACACACACACACACACACACACACACACACACCCATTTCTTCCAAATTCATGGAATGGTACTTTTATACATTTTTCTCTTTCCTAATTTTATGATGAATTTTAAAGAGCTGATATATAATATTATACATTGCGACTCTAACAAAGTATTTCTTATAATTTTCTAGCCACCAAAATATATCCCTTAATTTTAATTCAAATGTAAAATCTCTAGATAAATATAGGTAAAGCTATATGTATAGAGCAAGTACTGTGTGTAATTATATAAATAGAGGAGAATACATGTAATATAAGTTTATACAATATATAAATATTCACATATATATATATATAAACATCAAATGCATCTATAGATTTAAAACACATTGTGTGTTTGTATAAATATAATACATCTATCAAACTTGCCTTTTTCATTTTTCTCTACATTAGACCTATATGGAGAAAGAAAATATTTAGACCATTTTTAACATAGTTACATAGAGGTGGTATGTGTGTGTATACATAAATTATAGATACCAAATAATATTTTTTCTACAAAAGTATCTATAATCAATTTATAAATGAGAATTTTGATAGAAGAAGCAAATTTATCCCATTCATTCATTAGAAGAACAAATTACACAACCAGGTCTGGAATAGGAGGAAATAAACCACTGGTCTTCTTCTCTTAGGGAGTCCATGGTCCAGTCACCTTAGAAATTCTGACAGAAGAGGTTCCAGTAAGATGTTTTTCATAGTGACAAATTATAATTTTATTGTAGGTTTGTTAGTGTCCTATCAGTTGCTACATAACAAATTACCCCCAATTTAGCGGATTAGTCCAATAAACATTGACTAGCTGACATTTCGAGGGTCAAGAATGTGGGGAGCAACTTAAGTTGATGGGTCTGGCTCAAGATCTTGTGTGTTACAGTCAAACTGTCCACTGAGATCAAGGTCATCTCAAGCTTCACTGGGACAGAAGAATCGACTCCCAAGATCACTTGCTTGGTTGTTGGCACTCCTCAGTTCCTCAGGGTGTGTAGGTTTGAAAACTTGGATTCCCTTCCACTGAGTTGTCTCTTGAGTTTCCCCAAGACAGAGCAATCATTTATATACCAGAGCAAATGATCCAGTAGGGAAAGAGAGAGTTCATGAGCAAGGGGCACAGAGAGAGAAGAAGCCATCTTCTGTAACCTCATCTTGGCACCAAAACTTCTCATATTGATACTGTGAGAAGGGATGATACCAGGCTTTTTAATACCAGGAGGAGGGATCATTAGAGATCATCCTGAAGTCAGGCTACCACACTAGAAAGAAGCAACAAAGAAGGAACTAAGCCAGAAGTATCTCCAGAAGCATAAGTATTAACAAATTAGGGCACAAAAATAATAAAATAGCAATTGCCTCTCTGACTTTAGTCATTAAGACTAGATTTAATGGCAGTGGTTGAAACTAATTTATTAACGTTCAGAATTCCAAAATAAAAAAGTTGATGGATTTAAAATTGCATTATGATCTACTCCATGACCCGCTATCAGTGAAGGCTCCATGCAAGTTATCAAAGATAAATGAGAATGCATCTTACTTATCATAAGTTGATTAAACAATTTTTTCCATGATTTCATTATACTGATTAAGAATCCATCCATATTTAAGCTAAATCTCTCATGATACAGGAAAGAAATTCTTCTTTAGCTTTCTCCTCTTTATGATTGAAAGTGACTTTATCTTACTCCATGATGATATATATGTATCATCATGGAGTAATATATATATATATATATATAATATATATTATATATAGCATCATGCTTATTATCTTCATAATTGCATACTATTAGTTCCTTCTCCTCTGTCACCTTTTATAAAATTCATGTGACAAGGCACATCTGTGTGTACAACCGTATTTGATAATCCAAAACATTTCCTAGGTTATTATAGATGCTCAAAAAAGATCTGTTGAAAACAGTTTGTTTTATCTAAACAAACTCCCTTGAAAAGAAGAACAAGTTGGCCTTGGTTTGTGAAATGGCCACCTGGGTCCTGGAAAGCAAGAATACTTAGGCTGCAATGTTATTTCAGAGGACAGAGGACAGGAATATAAGATGAAGAAGTGATGACTGTAAAGAAAGAAGACACTCAGAGAGCAAATAAGATATTTTAGTAGAGATATAAACTTAGGGTTTGAGGACTTGGGGACCAACATCTATAAAATTGAGTCTATAGCAATTAATGGAAGTGGAAAATAGGTTGGTTAGCAACTGTAAAAATTATCATTAGTAATAATTAATAAGGTAGAATCACATTGTATGAAGAGGTTATATTAAAAAGTCAGTGAAAATTATTTTTAAAAATCCCTTAAGTCACTCATAAAGTATAATACTATGTTATGACAAATAGAATACCATATTATAAATGCCTAATGTGTACGGTAATGCATATTATGTAATAAAGTATCTTCCTGCAAAAATGATCCGACATTTTTAATTATGAGAGACTGTGAACACATGAACAAACTAAAATTTGTTCTCTCCAAGAGAGTGTCTTCTTTATGAAGAATTAAACAGCATCTATAGACTGCTTGTCATATATCCTTTGCCATCAGAAAGCACATGTGTAGAATTATATCTTTCACTCATATTTATAAACTTGGCTCATTACATTACCATGTTAAGAAATGTATGGGAGACATATGCAATATCTCTCAATATAAATACCTTGCACTCACCAACCAAACATTGATATATAGATTAACATAATGGACTCTGAATCAAAAAGCATTATTAAATATAAAGTCACTACATGGTAGGAAATATTCAATTCACTAGAAAGATGAAACAAAGTAAAACAGTTGACAAAAATGCAAGGAAAGATTGACAGAGCTACTATAATGGTGAATGATATCAAATATTCCTCTCTCAGGAACTGATAGATTAATGAGACACATTGGGAAAAATACAGAAGAATGAGCAAATACAACTAACAAGCATGATCCAATAAATTTGTATTGTACCCTAGAGGAAATAATTTAGAAATACAAATTCCTCTCAAGCCTATATGAAACATTTATTTTAAGTGACCAAAAACAGACTTCAAATAACCTATATAATATAGATCTCATTCACTTTCTGCAGTGTGATAAGTTAAAAATCAGTAAGAAAATACAAATAAACATATTTGTAAATTCAAATATGTTTTTTAGAAAGTTTATGGACAGAAAGAAAGAAATTCTTCCTCTTCCTTTTATGCTGAGTTGGGGTATTCATGATGTTGATGTGCTAGTTCATACCACCGTCATGGCTCTCAGCAGTCCCCAACCTGGTGGTGGCCTTTCCTGCCTACAATGAGATACAGGAAACAAGTCCCTTGAATTGTCTTGCCCCCACAAAGTCTGGTGTTAGATATAAGTTCCAGTCTTCTCTTTCAGTCTCCAGGGCAAAGCCAGGAGTGGGGAATGTCCTCCATGATGCCCCTCTTTGCCTGGGGAGGGACTGGCAAGTGAGTGGCATAAATATTCCTTCCAGCTTTGATGTGGCTATTTGTGCCCTCCCATACACCTTGGGTGTAGGGGTATAGGAGCCTCTTCACTGGTTTATGGATTTCCCACAAAGGAAATTGATCAGTGTATTGTTGTACTGGTGTGGCTATGGACAGGGAAAGGTGGGCCTTGGGGTTCCTACTCTGCAATCTTGCTGATATACGCAATATAAATTCTTAAAGTAACCTGTAAAGCACACTTTATACAAGCAACCACCACTTTATCATTTGACTTTAGACTATAAAAATAATTGACCCATTTAGCAAGCTATTTCCTTTAAAGCATTCAGCTTATTGAATCAATGTTGTTTCTTTTTAGCTATAAAGCATTTTCTTTCTCCTGCTGGCTTACATATGCTGGGAAGAAGCTGTGCCAAGTGAGAAACTACAGAAATATTCCAGTCAAAAAATTATTTTTTTTCTTAGTCAACTGGAATGAAACGTAAGTTCAATCATTATCCTAGCGGGATCATTTATCTAATAAAAGTCAGCCTTTTTTCTTTTTTTTTTCTTTTTGTTAGCAAAGGGAGTGATTTAAAAAAAAAATAGATGACGCCAGTTGATGGGATTCAGTGGTGTGATAAATATGCTAGTGCTAATAGATATCTGACGGGCAATTCAAGAGATTAAAAGTCCATTTAAAAACCTAGACAAGTGTCCAATCCACACTATTGAATTGAGGGGAAAAAAGGGAAATTAGAAAAAGGAGCAGAGTTATTAATCATTCACACACTATGGGTAATAGGGATATTTGAGTCAGGGCTTGGGAAAATCCACGTATAAAAACAAATTGCCTAATGATATATGTAATCTCCATTTTCTCTCACAAACCAATTGCATATTTGCTTAAGTAATCAAGACATTTTTATAATAAACACCCATGGATTGTGCAAACTCATATGTAAGTTAGGGTGAGTAGCTCTTGTTTCCTCTTCTAGTAGAGATTTATTATGTCAAAAGGGTAAAGTACCTTCTCAAACTTTCCCTGCCTTCTTTCTCCCGAGTAGTAGAATCTCAGGGGGCTCACAGGCCTCATCCTGAGCATTTTCAAGGTTACTGCTGCTTTTCTTTCCTCTCCCATGACAGTATCCCACTGCTTTACTCCCTGTCAGTCATTTTTCTGTGATCTCTGCTGCTTCACTGGGATCAATAGTCTGTCATCTCAAATAAAAAAGTCTCCCAGCCCATTCTCCTTCAGCTCTTTCAGAAGGTCTAGCTTTCTTGGAAAATAACTTGACTCCCAGTATTATGCTTTCCCATTAAAAAATATATGTCGTGACTTCTAGAAATCAGCGGATGGTATTAGCAGCATTATCCTGCTCTGGTGTCACCACATTTCAGAGGAGACTGTGCCCTGAAACATAGTGTAAGACCTTCAGTTCTCAAGTAGCATGGTACTCACCTCCTCAACCAAATCTTTTTTGTTCTGGGACTTTTACAATCTTTATTTCTCCTTTGAACTTTTTAAATTCTTTTGGCCAAAGACCTAACTTTCCATTACAACACCCTTTCTCATGTACTGAATCAGTTCTGCTTGTGAAATCCTTCAGTGGCTCTCCAAGTCTTTTAAGGTAACAGTGCTTTGGCCCCTATCTACCCTCTGTACCTTGATTCCTAGAATTAGTCTCACGCCCTGCACCAGCAACTATCCACTGACGTCTTCTGATCTTAGAAGGAACCAAGGAGTCACATCTCTATTAGGAGTCCTCCATGTAACAAGATATAGTGCTGCCACTTGCTTACCTTGAGAACACCTAATTATCTTCCACCTCCTTTATATACCCTTCTTGTACCACTAGGTAAAACTGTCTACCTTTGCTTTTGTTCCTTGGTTGGAACTCTGAACTTCTCTCTAAAGGTACTTATTGGACTTGTTTGTTTATATTTTTATTTGCTTCTACCAACTAATGCAAAGATTTTTAAAAATTTTCTTCAGTCTTCAGCAGCTAAAGCAGCAGAAGTTAGAGTAAAAATCCCATCAATATTATTGGGCAAATTCATACATTTTTGGTAACACATAACTCCTTGAAAGTGTTATTAACCAACTCAATCACTAAAATTATTCTTCTGACTTAACTAAAAGTTATTCCTGGTTATTTCCAAAAATCATATTTACTTTCAACTCAGATTCATGATATCACATAGACATTCAGGAGACAAATATAATTCTAAAGTCAATTTCATAGAAAACATCAGAATAAATTAAAAATAATTTCAAAAAATCACATATTTTTCTTTTATGAAGACTGTTCAAGTGTTATTTTTCCCATGAGAGATTCTTTTGTTCCTCCAATAGAGTTAGTTATTTCAGCCTAGAATTGTTTTTCATTTCATTTCCATTAAACATATTTATTTCCTGTTTTGCTGGATGCCTTTATATACTTCCTCAACCTGTGCTTATTTTACTATAATTTAGAGTAGACTTCATTGCTAGATTACAAATTTAAAGACAAAACTTTGTGGTTTAGTAGGGCTTGACATAGATTTTTGGCCAGCTTATATATCCTAACCACCACAATATACTCTCAAATTATACTATCTAGTATCAATTTTACAACAAAAATATGAGGCAGGTATTGTCATTCCCATTTTATATACCATAAAATCGATGTTTATGAAATTAATTCACTTGTCCCAAGGCCCACAACTAGTAAATGGAAACACTGGCATTCAGACCCACTCCCACTCCTGGGCTGGTGTTTTACTTACTGTTTTTTACAAGTGAACACTTGGGAAGAGTATTTACAGCCCATGAGTAGTGCTCATATTTACAGTAACCAAAAATAATCTGAACCTCATCTCCTCTCCTGCCAGCAGTCAACCCTTTATCTTCCTCTGCTTTATAGCCAAAAGCATCCCAGGTTTTCACTTTCTTCAGTTTCTTCCCTCTGTTTTAAAAATCCATTCAATCAGGTTTTTATCACTTCTGCTTCACTAAAATCACTCATCAGACTTAGTAGTGACCTGCACAGCTAAATCCAATGCTGATTCCTCCAGTGTCATTGTGGCCTGTCAGAAGCACTATAGATCTCACGCTCCATCTTGAAGTTCACTCCACTTGGCTCACTCCAACCCCACGGGCCATTCCTTCTCCACTTCCTTTCTTCTCCCAGACCCATCATGATCTTGGTCCTTCACTCTTCTCTGTTGTATATGTTCTTACTCCCTTAGTGTTTTTTTTCCTTTAAACATAAAGCCAACAACTATCTAATCTATATCACCAACCCAGACATCAGTCACGGACTCCACACTTACCCACTCAATATATCTAAAATGAAATTGCTAGTCTTACATTCTAAACTGTTCCCCTGCTTTAAACAATCAGTTCTCATTTTCATTGTCCAGGTCCAAATTTTTAGCTTAAATTGTCTTTCTCTAACCCCATGTCCAGGATATCCTACTGGCCATCCTTCTCAAAATATATCCACATTACTTCCAATTACCTCTGGTCTGGGCTACCATCAAGTCTCCTGTATGTGCCCTCAATAGTCATCTGATGATCTCCAACTCCTCTTTAACCTTTAGAGTTCTTCTCACACCACAGCTAAAACAAATCTCTTTAAAAGTATAAGTCAGCCCCTGCCATTCTTGTTTTTTTAAAAAAAAATCCCAAAATGTCATCTGTCCCATTTCACTCTGGCAAAAGTCAAAGTCCTTGCAAGAGTCAAGGATCTGTTTAGTGTGGTGTTTCCATTTTATACCTGTATTAATAGGAGAGTTCTAAATAATGAAGCTTTAGATCTCCCCCATTTTCACTATTAAAATTCACTTTGCTTCTTAGGAAAATGATATTATATATAAGAAAAATTATAATAAAAGTTTTAGTAATTACTCATTTGAAACAGTATATAGTAAGGTAAAAATATGGTTGAAATTTGAGATCCTTCTGTGTCAGTTCCTTGGATAAAATAAGCAATCTGACTCCTCTTACTGAATTGTCCCATGAAGTATTTTTCATCCTTTTTTATATAGACAAAGGATTCATTTTCTTTGTTTTTCAAGCAGACATGAAGAAGTTTTTTAAAAAAAAAAAAAAAGATTTCCAGTGCCTGTGATATTATTCTGGCTCTTTAAAACCATACATATTCAAAAGTGAATAAATAACTATTTAGAAAGCATATATTCATTCCAGAGAAGTATTTATTTTCATTATAAAAATGAAAGTTGGCAGTAACTATGAACTATGAACTGTAACTTATCTAATTTTGGTCATTCTTAATATGAAAAGCTCACTAACAAGTGATGTTACACATGAAAAAGCTCAATCTAATGGGGGAAAGAACATTCTACATTATGATAGAAATAAAGTGAAATTTCAGCTTCTATCCTACATAGAAACATGAAAATCTAATGGAAAGTCAATTATAGGTAAAAGAAAGAACATCAAGAAATTACTGTGCTTTCCATGGTATCATCAACATTTTATGTTGCATTTCAGAACATTTTTAAGCTAAGAAATATGTCCCTTTATCTGTAATAAGTATTATGAGTATGAAAGAATATAAAAGAAAGGACTTAGTTTTAGACATATAAGCATGTAATATTTTAATTTTGGGGGGAAGGGTGTACCAGGGATTGAGCTCAGGGGCACTTGGCCACTGAGCCACATCCCCAGCTCTATTTTGTGCTTTATTTAGAGACAGGTTCTCACTGAGCTGCTTAGTGCCTCACTTTTTCTGAGGCTGGCTTTGAACTCACAATTCACCTGTCTCAGCCTCCCCAGCCTCTAGGATTACAGATATGAGCCACATGCCCAGCCAACATTTTTAATATTTTAATAAATATAAATTTTCCAGTTTTTAAAAATATCTTCCTCACTATAGTCTTTCCTTTATTCCTATCCCTTACTTTTCACTAGAATTGAGTTTCATCAGTCCACAAAAAAAAAATGTATTTTTGATACAGGTGAGACTTCAGGGCACAATGGCTAATAATGGGATAAATGAATATTCTACCATTATACAACCTACCATTTGCCAAATATTGTATTATTTAATAGCTGTTTCATTTTATGGATAATGAAAAATAAAGCTTAGAAAGGTTGAATGAATATATTGTTTAAGGAGGAACATCTAATTTGTCAATAGGGCTAATTTTTGAATACACACACACACATACACACACACACACACACACACACATCCAAAATTTGGAATCATCCTCCCCACACACAGCTTATATATTAGTATTTCACAGTTAATATTAACTTCATGACATCATGACCTGAATTGTACACATTGTGCCCATTATTTCCATGTCAATTTCCTCTTTCTTCACTATTGCCTATCAGTCAGTTAAAATTTTCTTGCTACTTCATAATCTAAAAACTGGAATTTCCATTGGAATTTTGTTGTCCTATTCCAGTACTATGATGCCAGTCAAGTGTCAATGGTCACTGGGCTGAATTGATTTTTCCCTTGTCCCTGAGGCTGGATGTTGCATAGGAACTGCAAAAGGGGGTCACAAAGGTTTCACTTGAAAACTGAGGAAGGCCTGCCCCTCACCGTAACTGATATATGCCTGGTCTTTTATGCACACATGCCCTTTTCTGTATACCTTTCCCTTCCTGGAATATTCTTTTCCAAATCTCCATCTCATTATAACCAGCCCACCTTCCTCTAGATCAGAAAGCCAACTCCTAGTAGGAGAAGATTTTTGATATCTGAACCCTGCATGGTGGTAGTGGGGGCAAACCTTGTCAGCACATTTTAATTGGACAATAGGATTTGGTCATCATCAGTCCTTTAATAATCACCTGCTATGCAGATAACCTGACATCAAAGTCCAATTATAAATCACAAGGCCAGTGGACTCTACTCATATTCCAGACTCCTCACACCATCAGTATCATCCAAGGCAAGCTTCTAGTCACTTTTCTTTAGTCATCTCTTCCTTGATGACTCAGATCCTCTCACTCTTCCCCTGTCTGTCAATCATTGTTCCATTTTCCCATTTAGCCCTAGAATTCTCATCTTCTGGTAAACATATTCCTCTATCTCAGCATCTGGAAAAAATATTTTTCTGTCTCTTTGCTTCATACATATATTTTGTCCTAAACATTATGCTTCTCTTGAGGCTCCTGTTAAAGAACCTTGATCACTTTTGCTCAATCAAGAGAACTCCAGAACAGAAAGAAAACCTGCTGTCTCCCTGCCCACAAGGAGGAATCCCAGGGAACAATGTCAGGTTTCTGAGCTCTTTCTTCACAGACACTCATGCCACTCACATAGTATCCCTCCAAACTGATCCATCATGTATAACCTTCTAGACACTCCCATACATATATGCATGGCTTCAACACTGAAATTCAAGTTTCCTCGCCATTAACAATTCTATTTATCCTTAGCTGGTTTTTTTCCTTTCCTTTTCTTTTCTTTTCTCTTCTTTTCTTTTCTTTTCTTTTTTCTCCATTATCTACAATCCATCAGAACCTGAGATAAGAGCACCATACCTTAACATATCCAGGGACTGCACAGGCATTACATTTCAGCAATCATCCTCCATAATCCCAGGCCTCATCATCACCAAGGACAGTCCAAATTTAAAATTAAAAACAACTTTTCTATGCTTCTGGATCTCTCTTTCAAATATTTCCTTCTGCCCTTAGGGAAAAGTTCAAATTTCTTTGCCTGGCAGGCAGAGCTCTTCAGCGTTCTGGCAAACACTTATCTTTCTAATTGTATCCTTCAAAACTTCTCTTGCCAGCTGAACTCATCTCTTGTACTCTCGGCAGTGAGCCACTCACCATAACTGATATGCCTGGTCTTTTTATGCACACATGCCCTTTTCTGTATACCTTTCCCTTCCTGGAATATTCTTTTCCAAATCTCCATCTCATTATAGCCAGCCCACCTTCTTCTTAAGAATCCTTTCAAATCATCTCCTTTTCCCAACCCTCTAAGATAAATCTAGTCATTCTTTCTTCCATGCTTCCAATAACTTGAAGGTAAATACAGAAGTTATTATAGATTTTTAAAAATTCCACTATATGTCAAAATTATAAATATAATTACCATTTATTGAGTAAAGAATTTCATTACCCTATGTCTTTTATATTTTTATTTTTATAGGATTAGAAAATTTCAAAGGATACCTCAATTCAAATAGTTAAATAATTTTGTTCCAAATCATGATATTCTAAGAAAATATTTACAAAAAAATATCATTATGACTGAACCAATTATGTTACTTCTTTTATTTTCAGGATCAATTTTCCTCTTGAAATAAAATCACTTCCAAGGGAATCCATGCTCACTATAAAACTGTTTGGAACTGACTGTGCAACCAACAATGCAGATTTACTGGCCTGGACCTGTCTTCCATTGTTTCCAAAAAAGTAAGTATATCATTTGTGATTAGTAAACCTCCCATTTCAATAAAACCTTCTTGGAAGTAAATATTTTGCAGTATATGGCATAATGAGAAAAATCAAGAGGACATTTTATTCTGAAATGAGGTAGCTCAGTATAAATCATGACCATTGAAAGCAGAACTGAAAAGCAAAACCGTAGAAATGGTTTTAGAAGCAGGCCTCATGCTCAGCTTGTCAGCCAGGTCATTTACAATGAAAAGGTATTGGCATGACAAATCTCAATTGCTTTTTCTTCTCTGAGAAGCCAATTTCTCTGGAAATAGTAATTCAAAATGACTTGGATTAATATTGTGATTTAGAAAAAATATATAACTTGTGAAATTCTGACTAAAGGAAAACTATACTATATATATAACTGGTTACTAACCTTTTTTTGTTGCCAAGAAGCAATATTTGGTAACTTTAGGGTGATTTTTCCAAAAAAGTAAGCCAACTATGAGTTTAAATATTCTGTCAGAACTGATGTCATTGCAAAATTTACTGTCAATTTAACCATTCATTTTGGAATAATTAATATTTAGAATATTTTAACTAATGATTGTTACTAAGTAAAGAATATTTTAAAAATCAATTTATTTTTATACTACACCAACTTGCTTTAGAATCAAGTGGTAAAATACAGAATCCTCAAAAAATTAAAACCTAGATTGTTATGTTAATATCATTATGAAGTATGTTTATGCCATTGTTTTTTTTCAAAAAAGATTTGGCAATACAGAAATGTTATGATAATTCTTCATCATTTTTTAGTTCCCAAACCTAGTCAATTGAGAAAAATTAAAGCAAGCATGATAAATCTTTAAAATTTTCTTCTTTGGATTCATTCTAGTCAGAGAGAGAGAGAGAGAGAGAGAGAGAGAGAGAGAGAGAGAGAGAGAGAGAGAATGTGTGTGTATGTGTATGTGTGTGTGTGTCTTGCTCTATTATTTATTTTCCTGCTTTAGCCCATTCCTATTTCCATGTGTGTGGACCTTGAGGATGGGGAATGTATTTATCTCTGTAATGTCTATCATCTAACTTAATGCCTCATATAAACAGGCAATCAATATAGGTTTGTTTCCTGAATTGAATCAGGGAAAAAAAATCAATCCCTATAGGTGGTTTTAAATGAAATATCATTGCAAAAGTCTACAAGAAACAGTTTAGCCTTACAAAGAATATCTACTGCTGTTAGCAGACATTTCAAAAATCTGATTTGAATTTTCATTACTTTCTCACTAGGAGCAGCTATATAGGTATATAGCTATATAGGTATCCTTCCTCTCATGAGTGATTTCCTTAAGATTTCAACAACAGTATCAACAGTATTTTTAAGATCTGCCATTTTCCTAGAATAATATTTCTAGCTATTTATTGAAAAAACATTATATCCATGTTATTCTCTCCCAATGTGCAATATCAACCAATAAATATTAAATATAAAATAGATTGGAATTTTTCTTTAAAATCACTGTCAAAGCTTGTTTTAGATGGTATTGATAGTAAAAGTATAGCTTCTGTGCTTTTTTTTCATATCACTATCCAATGGTAAATTTTTCATAGGTGGGTTTGTATGAGGAACACTCTCTGGGACTAATCCTAGGAGACAATTTTGTAAGGAAAAGTAACAAAATTTGGGATGATGACACATCAGAAAATACAGTTTACTTCATAAAGTACTTCAGTAAGCAATTTGTAAATATATTTTCAATCAACTGTATCTCATGAAAAAGAACATCTACTTCTCTATTGAACTAAACAAAGAAATATGGATATTTTTGAGGCATCAGAAATCCATCATGGTGGGAATTGGGGAGAAGCATTGACTCCTACTTTGCTCATTTACAATTTACAGAGATTCTGATCCAACTTTTTTGATGCAGATATTTATTTCCAGATCACGGTAAATTAGTGTCTTAATTTCATTTCCGTTCATAAAATGACCCTTACTCATAAACATTTGATATTGGATCTTTTATTATAGTGTGAATTGCCCTTAGCTAGCCATGTGGAGTTGTAATGAGCACTTACATCATTATTTTTTTCCGACATGCATATAACCTGAAAAATAGGCTTCCTGTCTCTTTGTGGTTTCCAGAAGTGAGTTTCTAAAGAATCAATAGTGATTAAACTCAGATGTGTCACTTATGGCTGCATCAATAATGTCTAAAAATAAAAATTAACTTCTATATTTTCAAACATGCAAACTCTTCTTCAATTTTATAAAAAAGGAATATCTCAAGTCCAAAGGAAAACTTGGCCAACAAAATTTTATTCTCTTCTTTGGCAGATAAGGCTTTCACCATACCTCCATTCACAGTGTCTCCACACTGCAGTGAAAGTGTTATTCTCAACCCAACAATTTTGATAAACTTAATTCCAAATTTAATTTTACAACAAATAATGTGGTAGATACTTAGCATTTCTAAATTCTGATAAAGTACTTCAACACAGAGATTCTTTGCCCTTATTAAACAAAATAGAATTTTCTAGGAAAGTTATAAAATAAATCTAAAGCTGAAGTCTCTGCAAAGGTTCTAATTTAATTGGTCATGTTTTGCCTGAGCATCAATATTTTCAAAGCTCCCAAGGTAAGTTAAAGCCTAGGAAAATTATAATTCTTTGTAGAATTTCAAAAAAAGCCTAAAATAAGTCTTAATCTGAAACAATTTCATTCCTTAGACAATTGCCTAACCCTACTATAGCTAATCTTTTCAGATGCATCTTTAAAATTAAATAACAGAAAAGACTGTCCTTCATTAATTTCTTACTGTCCTTTCTTCTGGTCCAAGAGAGACCCTCAAAACTCAATTCAAAAATATCATTTATAGATGAAGAACTCTATAATAAAAGCAGATTAAAAGTCTTTCTATAAATCACCAGGATAATAAAAACAGAGGAAACAGGATGTAGATCTGACTTCTCTCCACTTCTCTTCTTCTCTTTGCTACCTTAATTTGACTCCATTCCTGCTTTTAGATGCTTCACCCTACTCATGAGCACACTGAGAAGACCTCCCCACACTAAAGGGCTCCTGTTTAGGCTTTGCCTGGGCTCTGATCTTGGGCATGATCTTATTAAGCATCCAGAAGCATTTTATAACATCATGTATAACCTCGAGTCCTCTGGTTGTCCAGTTCTATAGTCTAGAATACCAGCCATAGATGCGTAGAGTCCTATAGCTAAAATTGATAAAGTATTTTCTTCAAATACCTTCCTTTATTGATTGAAGAAGAAGGGCCCCAGAAACCAGCCCATCTGTTCTCTTGGTATCACAAATTTGGGGTTGGGTATTCTAGTCAATAAACTTGTAACATATTTGAATTGAAAAGATCCTTAAAAATATTCCAGAAAAAATATTTTTAAATATTATGCTTAGCCGTATAGTCCTTTTTCTAATGATAACATATCCAAACATTTCAAAGTGTCAGAATAATAAATATTTCATATTTGTGCTGTATAGACAGAATTTGCAGTCCCATAGTCCAGCCTAATGATCATCTTCCCATCGTCCTTCTGAAGTCCACCCTCAACCTCCAGAAGAATCCCACAGCTATATGAAAACTTGTTGGAAATCACTAATTTTGTCCAAGAAACTTCAAATATTTTCAAAGTAATAATAATAATATAAAAAAGTATGGTCATCCCCACTTGCCTGGTATTAAAAGTTCCCATAGTCATCATCTTTCTGAATCAATCAATGGTCTTATCTCCATTCCTTTAACATCTTAATTCTATTAACTATATTTCCTGTATTTTCCATTTATAAAATTTTATGGAAATTATGTTTAAAACATATTAAAAGGTGTTCAGTTACAGCTTATTACAATAAAGTAAAATAGCTAATACCAAATACAAAGAGTGCCTCAAAATGCTTTCAAATCCTTGTTTATTCTCCCCCCATGAGTGGCCATAAAGGATGGATGGATATATATATATATATATATGTATGTATGTATTTTTTCACAGTTTTATATATATATATATGTCATAGGTTTACATGTATATAATAATATATACTATAAATACTATATATTTGTGTGTGTATATATAAATATATATACCATGGTTTGGGCTCACAATTTGAAAGGTGAAGAGTTCAGTTCATTGTTGGCAAACTCCATAACTCTGAGCCCAAGGTGAGGCAGAATATCATGGAGAAAAGACTTGGCAAGGGACAGCAGCTCAGAACATGACACCCAGAAGGCAGAAAGAGGATTCTGCTCATCAGGGATAAAATGTAAATCCCAACATCACATTCTACAACCTAATCATTTCACCTCTGAATCTTCTTGCATTGTCTCACACATGAGCTTTTGGGGGACACCATATATCTAAACCATAACAGTTTCTCTTGGAGGGCAAGACGTCCATTCTCCCTGTGTCCTATTTCCTGATACACGTCCCTAAACACACTCCTACATCAAGTGTTCTGGCTTCATTTCTCCCCATATGCCTCAGGGTTAAGGCTAATGTGACTGTTCATTATTCCAATCCATTCAAGGACAGGAATGACAATTATTTACTATTAGATTCTTCCTCTGTAAGAACCAGTTTGGATCACTAAGATTTTCAGCAGGAAGCATGAACAGGACATATAAAGGTAACAAGACCACAAATGTAACACATTCTTCAACTTAGAGGTGAAGAAAAAAATGCAACTAATATATCACACTGTTCCTCTTGAGCTCCACCCCTGTAACTAATGAAGAGAAAAAACTTGCCATCTATGACAAAGTATTAATCAGTTCAGTAATTTTAATCATGCTTTTAAAAGTATGCAGTCTCTTTTGGATAAAAATGCTTTGTCACTCACATAGCTTGAATAAACCCTAATTCTCTTCCTGAGAAAGTGAAAAAATACACAAGATTAGCAAAGAAAGGGGGTGGGGAATAGATCCTTTGGCCTGGTGAATTCTGATATCCAAATCAAAGCCAGTTTTTAAGATGGTGGTTACCAATTACAGCTGACGTCTGCTGCTAGT